GGGCGGTCAGTGTGAGAGAGGTATCAGTGTGTGTGAGAGGGGTCAGTGTGTGAGAGGGGTCTGTGTGTGAAGGGTCAGTGTGTGAGAGGGGTCAGTGTGTGAGAGGGGCCTGTGTGTGAGAGGGGTCAGTGTTAGAGAGGGGTCAGTGTGTGAGAGGGCGGTCAGGGTGTGAGAGGGGTCAGTGTGTGAGAGGGGTCTGTGCGTGAGGGGTCAGTGTGTGAGAAGGCGGTCAGTGTGAGAGAGGGGTGTCTGAGTAGGGGAAGAGTCAGTAAGTGGGGGGTTCAGTGAAGAGCTAGTAATAAACAGCTGCACGGATGCAAATTTATCTTTCGGGCTGAAGTAATCATTTTCCCCCTCGCGTTCTCTCTCGCTTTCTTTCGCTTTCTGTACATGTTCCTTTCTCTCTCTCTCTCTCTCCTCCATCAGGTTTTCGTCCTTTCTCTTCCATCTTTCTCTGTCTCTCTGTCTCTCTCTCCTACCCTACCCGGTTCTGTTTCCTTCCTGTTGTTTACGGTCTTTCCTCAGCTGGGAACATCGTTCCTTTATTTGGGCAGTTCAATGTGTGGACAGGGAGAGACAGAAAGAGAAACAAGACACCGGAATGGGGGAGCTGGGGGTGGCGGTAGGAGGGGGAGAGAGAAAGGAGGAGAGAAATGCAGGAAGAGATGAGGAGAGACTGAAGCCAGAGCAGAGAGGGTGGGAGAAAGCGCCGGATTTCCTCTGAAGCAACATGTTTGTGGTCATTGTCCCGAAGTATTGTCACGCCATCGCTGTGGTCCCAGCGTGTTGCAGATCCCAATTCGTCTCAGTCTCTATTCTGTGACTCTCCCCGATGTTGCAGCGACACAGTTCAGGAAAAGGGGGAATCCGAGCTGATCCGCAGTGCTTTAGTCTCCGAGACTGACAATGACAAAAATAATTTTAAAAAATCAGTGTTATGTGTAACTCCGTTACACACATTCCCCAAGTTCCGAATGTAGGGGTGTTTATAGACAGCGGACTGACCCCCAAACCGCGCTGAATACAAACTGACTCAAAAACTCTTCTCAAAATCGTTAAAGAAACGGGAAGCCGGATATTCCTGCTTTATTTCGCCGTTTCAAAACGAATATGTAAAACACTCAATTTGATTAAATGATGGGTTCGGTGGATCAGACGCTGCCCAATCGGAGGAAATACGGTCCGGACAATCAATGATTTTTACACACAATGCGGAGGGGGCGTACTTAAAAACGAACGAAAATTTAGACAATGGTGACATTCGAAATGAGAAGCATTGAACTAACCGACAGGTTACAGGGCCGGGGCCAAACTCTCAGCAACAAACTGGAGGAGGGCGGGCGGTGGGGAACGAGGATTGTCCCAAGTTCAGTGAAGCCAAGGACAAGGGAACTGCCCTGGGAGGCAGGAGTCTGCCCAGTGTGGACCGGAGCTGGTATGGATTGACTGGCAGGGGCTCTCAGAGAGTGGCAGAGGGCAGGGGCACACACACACACACACATACACACACACACACACACACAGCCGGACTCAGGGGTGAACGTTCTCACTGAGTGACTGGTGGTGTTATTCCAATCCATGTAAAAAAAAGTACAAGAATCTCTGATGTTCTAAGTGGCTGTTGCATCGAGCCAGGTTTCTATTTTAACTGTATATATTATTTAATGTGTATAAATATTACAGGATTATGCACTTAAATATGTTTACAGCTAAATTTTGCACAGACTATGTTTAGTGGAGTTGTGTTTTGTGTCTTGCATGTTATTTGGCTGCCGTGAGTTCCTGTGACATTCTCTCGAGTCAGTGTGGTTTCCAATGGGAGCGAATCTCTGGGTCAGGTGTAGCTCTGAAGTTCAACAGCCTGCTGTTTCTGTGACTCTGATCAGGAGATGCCCAATATCCGATCGAAATTCTCTGTTCGCCATTTCTCCAAATCTGTCGGCGATTCTGCGCGAAATAGCGACGAGAGGGAATCTCTCGGAAGGTGTGTGGTGTCTCTGTAAGAGAGCGAATGAAGCAATGGTGTTCCTCCGTTCGGAGTGAGAGAGCGGACAAAATACTCCCGCGTTCTTATTGGAAACCACGTTTAATTTAACACAGAGTGGATACGTTTTGTATAATTACTGTTTAAAATATTTCCTTTTGACGTTTGGTTTCTGTGAAGAAACCTCTGGAACATCCATTGGACACGAGCCTGTGGATTTTATTTTATGAAAGGGTTGATTAAGAATCCGATTGGTTTCATATTAATCTGCTTCTTGCCTTAATTATAAAGGTGTAAAGTTCGAGGGATCCGTGCTTCATGTGATTGGTGTTTGCCATGTTCCTGAGTTTGGAATTTTCTGCTATTAATTCTGATAATTTTTAAGATCGGAATTTATCACTGTGCTTCCTTCCTAACGAATAAAACCTGAGCTGAAGTCGCTGGTCTGTTCCTCGCTGTCATTTCCATTTCGCACCATTTCGCTAGGCATCGCTGGTATTTGCTGCTGTGACCACTTTTTAAAGGAAGTGGCGGACTTCAGGAAATCAATGATTAACCACTCTGGCTGCCGGAATGCGGGATCCTCTCAAGTCTATCCCAGAGGCATAGACCGATTCTCCAACTGGATCTCCCCAAAGAAATCCGGGAGTTATTATCAAACCGAGCGGGCGGTTTAGCCTGGTTTAGTTTGTGGTGGTGTCTCAGAGCCAGGAGGTACCAGGCGCCTGTCATGAATGTCGGGAGGTGGGGTGTGGGTGGGTGGGGGCTGGGATGGACGGGGTTGGGGGGGGGCAACGTATTCTCATGCTTTGACTTTACTCGGATTCCCCAATATTCGAG